ATTATATGCTTTCTAATTCATCTAAAACCTTCCTGACTTTAATTACATTTCCCTTCCAAGTGCAGTGGGAAAGATTTAAGATAGAAAAGAGAAAAGCTAACCTGAACAGGAACATGGAGGTGAGAGAGAGGACAGGAATCCAAGCCAAATTTCTGACTCTAACTCTAGCTCAAATTTCCTTTGTCTCTTTTATAACTATACCTTCCTAAAGAGGTCAAATAAAGGAGAAGAAGCATGCTAAAAGGGAGAGGATGCTGGATGTACAATTGGAAGACCTAAGTTTGAATATTGGCTGTGCTACTTACTACATATCTGATTTTAAGCAAGTCTCTTAACATATCTGAATCTCAGTTTCCTCATCTATAAATGGAGATATTGGAACCAAATAAGTTAAGACCCTTCCAGTTCTAAATCTATGAACTATGAACCATGAAGCTAGAACAATACACTTTCCATATTTGCTCTTCTTTTATCTTTCTGAGGCTGCCAAACATGCCTGGCAATTAGAACAAATTGGGGCAGTGCCATCTGCAATATGTTGACATCTGTCCATTAGGGAAGAAACTGGACTGAAATCATACATGTTACTTCCCCAGAAACTGCTAGAGTATCATCAGGCAATAATGACTTTCTGTTGCTACTGACTTGTACTGGATATAAACTGATGATCTGGCTGATAGGCTCCTGATTGAGATTTTGCTATAAATTTGTCTTTCTACACTGCCCTCTTCCTCTCAGCCCCAACAATTTTTTTCACTTAATTAAGGACATCATATCAAGACACTGGTGTGCTTGTCTCCTTCTCTGAAGCTCCAGAACTAGACATTTCTGTCCCTTAAAATATTGCCTTCATTTTTTCCAATTTAATTCAACAAACATTTATTAAATAACTGTTATAATACTGCAAGGTACTGGGATGGTACCAGAGATGCAGACATAAATAGAACATTCATCTTGCTCTTAAGTTGCTTAGAGACTAATGAGGAGAAAAGAAAATGAGGGATAATGTGAACAGAGAACAGAGAAGGAAACGAAAAGAATAGTTCCATTTGGTCAGAACTTGGATTATATAAAAAAGGAATATTATGAAGTAAAGCTTTAAAAATAAAAGTAAATTAAAGAATAAAAGTAAATTTAAGGAAGATGGTGAATGGTTTTGAAAGCCAGGACCAGGAGTTTACACTTTATTTGTCAGGAAATGGGGACTCATTGAAACTTTCAAAGTAGAAGAATGGTATAATCAGATTTGTGTGTGAGGACATGAAAACACACTCCTTTCATCCTTTCAAAATAGTGCTCAAAAGTTATTCCATTCATGAATTTTCCCACATTAATCAAAACCAACACTTGGTCATTCTAATTACTCCATAAGATGCCTTTCCCATTGTACCTCTGCCTCCATTCCACTACATGCTAGATGTGGCTTAACCAGTGAAACTATGTACATGTGTTTATTTGGTTTTTTGTTTGTTTTAAGACAAATATATGCATGTAAATGAGTATTTGCATCTTTAAAGTAGTCACTTTGAGAGACTGGACTCCTATTCCATCAAAGCTAAGACTGCTCAAACCATCCTTGGACCTTCTTCTGTGTTAACTTTAGAACAAGTTTTTTTTCACCACCCAGAAAAGCTAGTCCTATTATTTTATCATCATATTTTATTTTAAAGCAAAAACATTATTTCCTAACTTGGCCACCCACTTCATATACCAGATGTGGCTATGGATAAATATTGGTTCTTTATAAAAATCAAATTCAACCTGAAAGGATGAGGTTTTCCCTAATCTAGATGTCCAAGAGAATATAATATAGTCTCTGAAAAGCATTTCAAATATGGACTTATAAAACTGTTATGATCAAGTGCATCTTCATTGCAATGGATGTCCACTCCCTAAATGAGGATATCAAATAGATAATAGACTCATTAGCATGTACAAGCTCCGGTCAGTACTGTAGAAATTAGTCTCATTGCTTTATAACCAATGCTCACATAATGCTGAATAAGAAGAACTAATTATATACTTATTATTGAGCTAGATCTGCTGTGTGTTCCTATGTATACTTCCATGCCTTGTCTGTGTCTCCTATGTTTAACTGTCCATAAAGTAAGGGACTTCAATAATTTGCAGGACATGGTAAAACAAAAGCTAGATTTGTAATCAGAAGATCAAGAATCCTTAGAGGTCATCTGGTTCAGCCTATTAGAATCCAGGTAAAACTTAAGAGGGACAACTAGGTGGTACAATGGATAGTGATAGGCTTGAAGTCAGGACGATTCATCTTCTTAAGTTCAAATCTGGCCTCAGAAACTTACTAGCTAAGTGACTGCAGGGCAATTCACTTGATTCTGTTTGATTCAGTTTCATCATCTGTAAGATGAGCAGGAGAAAGAAATGGCAAACGACTCCAGTATCTTTGCCAATAAAACCCTGCATAAGGTCATAAAGAGTTGGACATAACTGAAAACAATTGAACAACAACGACAAAGACTTAAGAGTTATTCTCCAATTTCACAAATATATTGTCCTGACAATTCTTGGGAAAAACAAAAACAAAAACAGGAAGCTATTCCTTCTAATTGCAGCATAAATATTCCTGACCAGTCCAGGATGAAATGATCTCTCCTTCCTCTGGACCCCTATATAATCAATCATATTCAATGTGTCCAAAACAGAACTCATTGTATTTTCCCTACTCCAAATTTCCCTAATTTTGTGGAAAGAATCTCCACACTTCCAATCCATCCAATTTGCAACCATGGAGTCATCTTTTAATTTCCTCTCCCTAACCTTCCATATTCAACCATGTCCTAATTTTTTTATCCACATTTCTTTTATTCATCCACTTTTCTTTCCACAAAATACATCCCTTAATTTAGGCCATCATCACCTCTCATTTAGATATTCTAATAACCTTCTGTCTTCATGCTTTCAGTCTTTCCCTTGTCTAATTCATCTTCCATAAATTTATCAAATTGGTGTTCATAAAATGTTCCAAAGGAATACAGGACCTGGAGTCAGGAAGACCTGAGTTCAAATCAGGCCTCAGATACTTCCTGTGTGACATTGGACAAGTGACTTAACTTGTGCCTGCCTTAGTTTCCTCAACTGAAAAAAACAGTAGCACCAACACCCCTGAGATTGTTGTGAGGATCAAAGGAGATAATAATTGTAAGGCACTTAGCACAGTGCCTGGCACATAGTAGGCGTGTGGTAAATGCTTATTCCTCTCCCCTTCCCTATATCATTCAACTATTAAAATAGCTTTCTATTGCCTCTACAGTAAAATACAAAATCTCCAGCTGATCTCTTGAAAGCCTTTTACAATCAGGCTTCTACCTATCTTCCCAGCTTTATTTCCCTTTATATCCTCTCCATTCCAACTAAACAGGCCACCTTGCTGTTTTCCAAATACATTTCATTTACCACCTCTGATCTTTGCACAAATGGCCAGCTATGTCTGGAATGCATTCCATTCTCTCCTATGCCTGGAAGAATTCCTATCATCCACCCATAGACAGTCGGATGCCACCTCCTATACAAATTCTTTCCTGAGCTCCCTATTTGTTAGTATTTTCTCATTCTTGAAATGACTCTGTATAAACTTAACAATGATTGATAATCCCACCAGGAGAATGTCAACTCTTGAAAGGGAGAGACTGCTTCACTTTTGTCCTTGCATCCTCAGAACCCAGAGACGAGCCTTGCACAAAGTAGCTGCTGAAAAAGTATTTGTTGAATTGAATTGAATTTTTCAATGTACTGGGTGGGGCCTTCTGAAATCTATCTCTCCAGTGGTTATCTGGCATAATATATATTAAATCTTTCTTTTTTACTGTTTTTTGGTGTGCTTAGGACTTGCCTTCCCAGGTAAAATTTCATCTCCTGGAGGACAAAGACCATTCATTCACTATACTGTTGTTAGTCACATCTGTTGCTGTTGTTGTTTGTCCTTCATTCTAGAAAAGAGGACCATGGCATCAGGAAGGTGATGCCATGACTGGCAAGTGAGTTGGAATTAAGTGAGGGAGGGCTGTGCAAAGTTACTATCCTCACTTTTTCCCCCAGAGCTATCCAGGTCCAGTGGTGAGATATAAATCAAGACAACTAGAGATGGCCTACTAGTCAGATCTAGAATATAACCCAGTGCTAGTAGCCACAATAAATATTTACTCACTTAATATTTTTTTAAAGTCCTTTCCTCTATCTATCCATTTCCTTCTACCCATTTTGCTTTGTTATGCTATCAATGGTAATAGCAGCTTTGTGTCTTCTACTTCATAACACTTCATATCTCTGAAGCTACTTGTTCTTTGGAAATATGTTTGCAGCTTTGGAATTCACATGGAAGTCTTCACTAATAGATAAGCCTCCTTGTGATCATCTTGTTGAAAGAAGTAAATATATCTTCCAGGACTCTATTGAGGATACTAGCCATAATGATAGCCTTTCTGTGTTGAAAGGTGACTTTGAGGTGAGAACACTGAATCCTGGAGGAGTCAAATGACTTGTTCATGGTTTCTGAAGTAGTTAATAGGAGAAATGAGGCGATAACCTGGGTTACTTGATTCCCAATTCAGTCTTCTTTCTACTATTTTTTTAAAAAATTATTTATTTATTTTTTGCTATCAACCCATTCTCTGTTTAAGTAGAGGAAAGAAAAAACTGGGAAAAGTTCCTCACTTGTTGCTCCTCATTCATGTCTAATGTAAATATATTATCAAGTGTATTTATTCATCTATATGACAATAAATTCAAGCATGTATTTGGGGTTTATATTATAATGCAAAAGCAAAATACAAGGCAAACTTTTTTTTTCATTTTCATCAGTCTTTTATAATAATCAGTAAAGAACCAAACTGCCTGAACACTATGTTTAGTGCATGAAGGAGTGATTCTAGTTGAGTAAAATGTTAATTTTCTTCCAATGTGCAGCTTCATCCATTATTCATTAGCACTTTTCTTTATAGATTTATCCTGGCTTCAGTCACCTCACTCACCAATTCTTCTGTTGAGTTGGGCTGGGCTGGGAGTGCCGAAGAGTTCTGATGAACTGGAAAAGGCTGTTGGAGGCAGCAGGGCTGATAATGGGTTATCACAGTTATCTAAAACCAGGAGAAGAGACATACATAGAAAAAGTCCATCAAAATGTTACTCTTAGAATAGACAAATGGAAATATTCTCAGACATTATTAATAACAACTCACATTTATTTTAACCATTAAGATTTGCAAAGCACTTTCTTAACAATAACTTTGTGAGGAAGAAAGTGTAGGTAATATTTTGTTCATTTTATACTTGAGGAAATCAAGTACAAGAGAGGTTAAATAGCTTGGTCTTATGGCTAGTAAGTGAGATGCAGGATTTGAACCTAGGTCTTTTGGCCCATATCCAGACCTATTTCCACTTAAATATTTCCCAGAGGAAGAATTAAAAAAAAAAAAAAACATCTTCCAGAATCTCTGCTTAAAAAGGGCAGGGGGAAGGTAATAATTATGCTAGATAGATATTTTAGTTGGCCCAACCTCAGCGATTCTGGGAGTAATTTTGAAGACAGGGAAAGAAATTGGGATAAGTAAATCACCCATAGTTATAAAAAGTTGCCTGAGAACAAAATCACTGTTGATCACTGAAACAAAATTCACTTTAATTCCATGGCAACACAGACATGGTTATCTGTGGAAATCATGGAGTAGGCTAAGTTTAAGATAACAAAATAAAAAAAAAGTAAGTAAATAACCAAATAGAATTGGATTATGTTTAAATGAGAGTCCAGTGCAGTTTTTGTTGAAGACATACTTAAACACATCTCTGTTTCAACCCTTTTCAAAAATCTTTCAAATATTATCTTTGTTCACTTTCTAGCCTTACTAAGAGAGTACTGGACCAAGCAGAGTCTCAGTTTGTGGGCTGGATTTCTTGCTAAGATGAGGTGACTATAATAAATAATCAATGGTCACTTTCCAGTCCAGGACTGGAGAGAGAGAGAGAGAGAGAGAGAGAGAGAGAGAGAGAGAGAGAGAGAAGGATAATTTTAATTAGACTTGAGGATAAATATAATGATCTTCTAAATCTAGTCTTACTTATTTTATGGCTGAAGTTGAATTTGGTTGAAAAAAAACTGAGACTCGGGGATTGGTCTGAATGTGAATTTATTATAGGACACTACTCCCTGATCCTACACTTTTTAAATTAATCAACAAGGATAATTTCAGCCCTAATGTATGTGGCAGGCATGTACTAGATACTGAGACTACAAATACAAAAGTGAGATAGTGCTTACCCTAAAGAAGCTTGCATTCTATATTGTCACATTATTCTTTCCTTTTGAATACTTTTCTTATTACTTGCCCCATTCTCCTAAAATTAGTGGGCAGCAAATAACAAAATACATAAAATCCTGTTCAATGGAGATCCTAGAATTCTGGTTATTTCCACTTTTATTATAGATTGAATTTTTCATTGTGTTTTGGACAGTGACTTTTTTATGACTGAGAGAATACATTGCAAAACTTGCTTTTTTATGAAGTTAGTGACCAGTATATTGCAAAGGCAAACATCCAGAGTTGGAAGACAGAAATCTTCAAATTTAATCCTTGATTTCACACTAATTATGTGCCATTGAACAAGTCACTTCCCCTCTCTGGCCCTCCATTTCCCTATGTCTATTTTACATGCTGACTATTAAGAGTCTATGATTCTGTACAGCAGGGAGGGAGATCTGAGCCATTTCAATCTATTTCAACACCACCTTCAAACCTGCATTAAACAGTAAAAATTAAATTCATTTTATTTTATGAAAAAAGTGGACAGTTTTAACAAGACAAAATATGATTATAGTGCTTTTTCCTTATCTGGTAACTCTTGAAAGGAAGCATTTGGACAATTTGAAGGAAAATTAATGAGAAACATAAGCATTAAATGCTTGTTAGTTGAAATGTGTTAAAAATCAGCTTGGCGAAGTGTATTTTGGGTTTTACAAAACACAAAAGTTTGAAAAATATTATGAGGCATTCTACAAACATAAAACACAGGCAGGTCCTTGATAATGAGGCAGAATCTACAAATGAATGCTGACCAGGCCATAAGAAGAGGGGTCATGGAGAAGTAAATAGCAACAAATGTTGCCTTTTTTTTTTCTTTTTGCCCCAGGCTACCCTTCTGATGTGTTGAAGATGGGATCATCATTACTAATGATAAAAAGAGATTTGAAACTGAGCTCCTATACCCTCCAACATGCTTTTTCAAAGGTTTTAAATGTATTATTCATAAATGGAGGGATGGTACCAAGATAAGGCAGTAAAGTAAGTAAACTTTTTGATAGGCATCCTCTTTTCCTGCTCATTCTCCAAGGCACTAGTGCCACATTCCGTGATGGTCTCCATAGTTCAATATCCTTAATGATACCAGGCTGTTGTCCAGCCTTTCTGATCACAATCTTTCTAACTCTCATTTCCCTTCCTATTCAATGTTTAATTCTCTTGGGGCTTGTCTTTAAGATGTATCTTTTAAGATGACAACTACCCAATAGATGATGATAACAATAAAATAATGATTACTACTACTTGTTATTATTATTAATAGTGTTTTCTGTGAGAAGGCTAGGAGATCTCCCCAGATCTCTCATGCCAGTGTTTGGGCTGTGCTAGCCCAAGAAAAATGTATGTATTTTAACCAGACCATTCGGTTAGAGAAAGTACCCCCATCTTGTTTTACTAAACCCAAACTCTAACAATAAAATACGAATTTTGAAGCTGCAGAAGAAAAAAAAGGAGCACAATCATGGCTAGTCAGTGAGAAAAGATATTTGGAGGCAGATGGCTGTTTTGGTGCCTTTCATATTGCAAACAGCCAAGTGGCTATTAGCTCACTTCTGTGTGAGATAGAATGCACAACTTATCAGCATCTAGATAATGGAAATGGAGAATATATCTATGTATCTACTCATTATAAAAAGTAATAGAAAACATCTCCTATTAATTAAAATGAAGGGGTAAAATTCCATTGAGCATTAATATAGATGAATGCCCCAGGAAGCCCATTATTGGGAAAATGTCATCAGCCTGCAAAATCCTACCAGCCTTTGTTCTACATCACATCACCCTACTCTGTCGCTCTGGTTAGAGAGGGAAGCTGAGGACTCCAAAAAGCTCCAATTAAGGAGAGAACGCAGCTCAGAACTTCTCCTTTCCCACCTGGCTGCATTACTTTGGGATTTCTCCGACTTTTCCACCATGCCTTTTTTTGCATATTGTTTACTCCCAGTTTATTATAAGCTGCTTGAGGGCATGGATTTTCTTTTTTGTATTTATATCCCAGAGTTTAGCACAGTACCTGGCATATAGTAGACACTTAACAAATGTTTATTGACTGATTAACATCTGTCAGGGTGTATATATGTGTTATTGATCAATGGGTTATCTATTTTTCTACTTTGTCCTTTTAACTTTAAACAGAATATTATAATAGAAATAGCAGAGATCTAGAAGCCAGAATACCTGAACTCTGCCACTGATTTTCTGTATGACTTTGGACAAATTACTTGGTCTCTATGATCCTCAGTTCCTTTCCCTTTAAAATAGGGATATCAATGTCTCCCCTACCTTCATCATAAGGTTACTTGAAGCATAAAATGAGGAAAAAAATTGTAAGTGCTTCAAAAACTATAAATCAATTTTAAGAAAAGAAACAGATAAAGGTTTTGAAATGATCTTTGCTTGAGTTTTCTAAGGGAAACAGGATTAGTAAGCTTATTTCTTTTAAATCATTTCTCCCTCATTAAGACAACCACAAAAACTTGTCATTATTCATAATTTGTCTTCTTCTGAGATTTATAAGCATGCCTCCACTGCAGTCTTACTTTCATACTTCATAGTTGTGTGGAGGTGACTCCAGTTTTTCAAATACAAGGCTAGCAGAGCCCAAAACGCTGGCATGAACTACCAAACTGTAAGGCTCCAGGTACAGAACATCACAGACCTTGTGTCTACTGTCTGAGAACCACTCTAAGATGAGATGGGCTCATCGCCAGAAAACTGACCACGCAGATTTTTTTTTCCTCTAGGGGCTAGAGGAAAGGTGAAATTTTGTAGAAGATCATTTACTAATATAGAGCGATTTGTGACGGTGAAACTATGTATCTTTTGAAGAACTGAAGTATCACAATGGAGATGGAGAGATTGAGGAGAGAAGGGAAAGAGAAAGGTGGGACAAGAGGATTTGAAGTTTTGACCACAACTAAATAATGCTTAACATGTATGAGAAAGATCTATATAACAATAAATACATGACTGGAAAGGGGAAAACACACAAAAACAAACACAATCTGTTCTATTTGCTGTGGAAACTAAAAATTCAATGAATCCAACTATTTCATTTTTAGATCTTCTCAAATTAGTACCAGTCTGCTGATACTGGATCTTTATAGTTCAAAACAACCAGTCAGTTCTGTCAAAAATTCAGTGAGAAAAGTAATTGGGTTGGGGTTTTCTTGTATGTGTTTGCAGGGAGGGTGGAAAGTGGATTTTGATACTCTAGAGATTTTTTTTAATGAAATTTAGTATAACTCCAGGAGTGTCACTTCAAAGCCAGACAAGGGTGAAGGAGATAACAGTCAGGGAAAACTTCTGACTGAAATGAAATATAGAGGAGGGGAGAAGAGGGTTCTTTCAGCAAATGACCTCAAGCTTTCCAGGGAATTATGAGATGAGACCTTCAGCTGAAAGGGTTGGGGCATAGGTGCCCCAGGAGTTTTGAGGAGGGACAAAAATGTTTTGAATAGACCTTATGGTTAATAGGATAGTGAATGGAAAAGGGTTGTCCTGCTTCAAAGAGGGTCCAATTTGAGATTCCATGACTTTGCAGTAGGACCACACAAAGTAGTTTTGTAAATTTCTCCATCTCCATTTAGCAACATTTGAATAGGAATGAAAAATTAAATAGTAGGAGTAAATTCAAGGTTGGATCTGGGCAAGGCATAATTGGTAGCAGATAAAGGACGCAGTTAATTCCATGTAGAGTAAAACTAGTTCAACTTTGGGGTTGATATAGAGAAGGAAGAAGAGTGTAGATAGTGTTTGGGGTGATGTCCTGGGAAAGAACTGAG